TGCGCGCATTTGCGTGACTAGGAAAGCACTGGGGAAGCTAGAATGTAGAATCTTGAAAGACCAGCAAATGTGAAGTTCAGCTTCTTATGCTCCAAAGGTTGATGATGCCTTCGTCCTGAGAAGCGATCTTCAAGCGTTTTCATGATAGTTCATCTGGCCATGAGTTCAGCGCTTTTCGATGAGCAATGATAGCGGTGGGACAGCAGGGCATCGTTTGTGGCTAGACTACGTGAAGTCGTAAAATATGCCTGAAGCTCTTATTTATGTGCAAAGCAGCCAATCGTAATGCCTGAATGAGGTTGCAGAGCTGTAGGTAGTGCTAAATTGCTGTTGGTCAAACAAAATCAGAAGTGCGCATATATACGTAGATGCGTGAAAGTATATGTCGATTAGCTTCATGGATATTCTTGATGCCGTGCAGTAGACCCAAAGCACTCAGCAACTCGTACATGTGGACTGGTAAGGATGAGTCCTCAACATACATGGACGCTGTAAAGTTTCCACACAATGCACGGAAAAAAGTGAAGTACACGCAGACTTTTGTAGATGCTTTCGTCTCATCCGAAGAAATTGATGGTCGACTGCAGAGACTCTTTTCTCTCCTATAATGTATACTGCACGATGCCTTTTACAGCTGCAAGCGTCATGCAGGACGTCACTCTTAAATGAGCAGGAAACATGGTCTGAGTCTCACGTAGCGTGTCATCCCACGGCAAGCGAAGTCCTGAAGCTTGTTAAGTAGTAAACTACTGTACAGAGAAGAATTATTGCAATTCAGTCCTGAAGGCGCAAAATTCATCTATATCAGCGAAACCAGCATGTCTACAAGACATTGACTGTTTATTAGTATTCTCGTTGAATGGTGAAATTAAGGCATTACCATAGTTGGTTCCGTGTAATACTGCACAGAACAAGTCCTGTCCTGAAGCTATGGAAGGTCACCTGCATTAGTATGCTGACTACAACAGCTCCTCCCTTCTGCTGTGGATTGTCGAATGCCTACAGTCAAAACGTATCGCTACAAGTTCTGAACAGTTGTTCTTTGGGCATCATGAGAGTGCAGTGAAAGAAAGGGACTTCCTGTAGCTGCTTTACGTGTCATCTAGAACGAGTCTCTCTTCCCCACAGGTCTTGAATAGGGGTTGTTGATTTTTGCGCGGCTGAAATTTTCGAATACTAAAATATTCTCTTGCTGTGAATGGAACGCAGGGTATTACATCGCGGCTTATTCCGTTAACGGCACTTTGCTGGCCATGTTCTAAGCATTGATGCCGAGAGGTACGCAATGCTGGATAATGAATATCAGGCAGCACTGCATATTTCTCGGCCTCAATGCTTAGTCGTACGTACGCATTATTTCATTAGCCTGCCATTGCTTTGTTTATCTCCATCTACTCCTGACGCGCGCTTGAGCATTCGCCACCTTTTTCTGTGGGCTTACGTATTCACCGTGATCGTACACTATCTCCAGTGTAGTGATACGGAAAGTAGGGAGATTACCCAAGTACTTCCCATTCTTGAAGACTGCGTAATGTACGCAAAACTACACTCTTCGTCGCCCAAAAATATGTGGAAAGCATAGCGCGTGAAGCCGATTACCTTGTAGATTGGCAAGTATCACATAGAAAAGCAAGCCACGAAGAGGAGAGCCACAATGCCGCCAGGACGTCAAAACAGGTTGGCTATGAAGTGCTATAAGGTGCGTGGCAACTAATATGCCAGAGTTTGCGCTGACAAGCATTTTGGACGCAGAGTTCGTTATACTATTAAGCGGTGAGAAGATGCAGTGAACGACAAAGGGTAAACTGAGAGCAACTGAGGTGCTCATTGGTGAGTGTGCTATAGGGTTAGGCAGTTACAGTATGAAAGTGTGTGCTTACGCTATTAATGGGTCAGAAGAGGCGTCGGAAAACATTGTGGAAGTCCATAGAGACTGCAAAGACCCCACCACTCAAAACAGGCATAGGAAAGAGTCTCTACTGACTGCTAGGCCTGATCCTCGTGGAGAACATGCTGTAATCACAGTTGTTAGCATCTGACTACCTGAGTATAGCTGCAACGATGTTTTAGACATTTTCTTGCCGTCTTGCTCCATGTCTTGCTTGATTTCTCACCTTCGTCCTCGCCACCTTGCAGGCCTTCTTGTTCTTCCTCGTACGTGACATATTTCCCGGAGGCCAGCTTTGCCTTCTGTTGCTTTCTTTCCCTTGGCGTGTTTCCCATAATTTCCCTCAACCTCATTCTCTGCGTTCTTCTTGTGGACTCAAGAGACGTTCTGACTCAGCTGACAGTCCGCTATCCAAGGTGTCTTGCACAATCTGGCTGGCACTGCACGGAAACTGCCCCCATTTTGTAAACGCACGAATCAATGTGGCTGAATAAGTAACCAAACATTTTATCGTGCTGCAAGCCATGCTCTTTCTGTTGCTTAACGCCTCTTTCAAAGTGTACGGCTCGCGAAAGTCTGGATGCACAGTTCGTTGTCCTTTTGTTTCTTGCTTATTTTTTCTCCATGCTATCCCTGAGTGGGGTTGACTATTAGTACACTGTCCCTAAGGGACCAACAGCCTGTTTGAGGCTATTCTTTTGGCAGTTACCATTTATACTCTTTGCTTTGGCGCGTTTTACCATCCTCTCCTGCTTGTGGTCTCATTAACTAATTGAGGCGCACCCTGTTTTATCCTAGGGGAATATCACCTGCATATCTATTGCCACGCCTTCTCCCGAACTGTCAGCTGGACCTAAACGAGGAGAGTCGTTATGTGAGAAGATGCTCTGTAGCCTATCCGATGGAAACACATAGCCCAAAGCTGAGGGAACAAAATCACGAGAAATTGACTCCGTGCGGCGCGCTAGCTCCTTCTCACAGTGGAGGAGCTAGCGCGCCGCACGGGGACAGTTTTCCGCGATTTCGTCTCCTGAGCTTAGGGCCGTGTGTACG